ACCGAGACCAAAAGCGACCACCCCCCCCCCCCCCCAATCAGAACCCCCCATCAGTCCTCTGCTTAGAGGTTATCTTTTTTAAGATTGGCACGCAGCATAAAGCTTCAGTCTGACCTCATTCATTTTGTTGGACATTTCCTGCGTACAATATAGACAGAGGAGGTTTAAAAGGAGCTTCCTGAACCCTCAGTGTACCCCTCCCCCAACAGCCCGACCTAGCTTCCTCTCCCTCCTAATACAATGCTACATGACAAGCGGATAGAGAAAGGTCAAGAAGACAAGATGGTGGAGCCCTGAAATTCAGTAATGTATCCAGTACCGGCCCAGGGAGAAGTCTTCCAGGGAAAAGTAGAGAAGACAAGATGGCCGGGCTCTGGACATCAGTAACGTATCCAGAATGGGCTCAGGGAGAAGTCTTTTAGGGAAAGGTGGAGCAGACAAGCTGGTGAACCCCTGGACATTGGTAAAGTATCCAGAATAGGTCTAGGCAGAAGTCTTCTCCAGGGAAAGGTGGCACAGACATGATGGTGGGCCCTGGACTTCAGTAACATATCCAGTATGGGTCTTGGTAGAAGTCTTTCAGATAAAGGTTGCGAGGACACGATGATGAGGCCCCGGACATTAGTAACGTATCCAGTATGGGTCTGGGGGGACATCTTCCAGGAAGAGGTTGAGAGCACACGATGATGAGGCCCCGGACATTAGTAACGTATCCAGTATGGGTCTGGGGGGACATCTTCCAGGAAGAGGTTGAGAGGACACGATGATGAGGCCCCGGACATTAGTAACGTATCCAGTATGGGTCTTGGTAGAAGTCTTTCAAGGAAAGTATATGGAGACACGATGATGAGGCCTTGGACATTGGTAACGTATCCAGTATGGGTCTGGGGAGAGGTTTTCCAGGAAGAGGTTGCGAGGACACGATGATGAGGCCTTGGACTTTGGTGACACTTGTTTGCTCTGTGCAGCTCCACATATGTGGTCCCCCCAATACTGCAGAATACCCGGCACAGAGTGTCCCCATATAATGCCGAGGCCACGTAATATATATTATATGATACAGACCTGAGATGGAGAGTGTGCCCTTACAAGGGAGCCGGTCGTCCATTAATCCTCCATCTGACGGCCTGGAAGACACCAGAGGGTAAAGGTCACATAACGGGGTCAGGGAAGGGACCCACCTGAGAGCCCTCTGTCTCTGTCAGGCCCACCTGAGAGCCCTCTGTCTCGGTCAGACCCACCTGAGATCCCTCTGTCTCTGTCTGACCCACCTGAGATGCCTCTGTCTCTGTCAGGCCCCCCTGAGATCCCTCTGTCTCTGTCTGACCCACCTGAGATGCCTCTGTCTCTGTCAGGCCCCCCTGAGATCCCTCTGTCTCTGTCTGACCCACCTGAGATGCCTCTGTCTCTGTCAGGCCCCCCTGAGATCCCTCTGTCTCTGTCTGACCCACCTGAGATGCCTCTGTCTCTGTCAGGCCCCCCTGAGATCCCTCTGTCTCTGTCTGACCCACCTGAGATGCCTCTGTCTCTGTCAGGCCCCCCTGAGATCCCTCTGTCTCTGTCTGACCCACCTGAGATGCCTCTGTCTCTGTCAGGCCCCCCTGAGATCCCTCTGTCTCTGTCTGACCCACCTGAGATGCCTCTGTCTCTGTCAGGCCCCCCTGAGATCCCTCTGTCTCTGTCTGACCCACCTGAGATGCCTCTGTCTCTGTCAGGCCCCCCTGAGATCCCTCTGTCTCTGTCTGACCCACCTGAGATGCCTCTGTCTCTGTCAGGCCCCCCTGAGATCCCTCTGTCTCTGTCTGACCCACCTGAGATGCCTCTGTCTCTGTCAGGCCCCCCTGAGATCCCTCTGTCTCTGTCTGACCCACCTGAGATGCCTCTGTCTCTGTCAGGCCCCCCTGAGATCCCTCTGTCTCTGTCTGACCCACCTGAGATGCCTCTGTCTCTGTCAGGCCCCCCTGAGATCCCTCTGTCTCTGTCTGACCCACCTGAGATGCCTCTGTCTCTGTCAGGCCCCCCTGAGATCCCTCTGTCTCTGTCTGACCCACCTGAGATGCCTCTGTCTCTGTCAGGCCCCCCTGAGATCCCTCTGTCTCTGTCTGACCCACCTGAGATGCCTCTGTCTCTGTCAGGCCCCCCTGAGATCCCTCTGTCTCTGTCTGACCCACCTGAGATGCCTCTGTCTCTGTCAGGCCCCCCTGAGATCCCTCTGTCTCTGTCTGACCCACCTGAGATGCCTCTGTCTCTGTCAGGCCCCCCTGAGATCCCTCTGTCTCTGTCTGACCCACCTGAGATGCCTCTGTCTCTGTCAGGCCCCCCTGAGATCCCTCTGTCTCTGTCTGACCCACCTGAGATGCCTCTGTCTCTGTCAGGCCCCCCTGAGATCCCTCTGTCTCTGTCTGACCCACCTGAGATGCCTCTGTCTCTGTCAGGCCCCCCTGAGATCCCTCTGTCTCTGTCTGACCCACCTGAGATGCCTCTGTCTCTGTCAGGCCCCCCTGAGATCCCTCTGTCTCTGTCTGACCCACCTGAGATGCCTCTGTCTCTGTCAGGCCCCCCTGAGATCCCTCTGTCTCTGTCTGACCCACCTGAGATGCCTCTGTCTCTGTCAGGCCCCCCTGAGATCCCTCTGTCTCTGTCTGACCCACCTGAGATGCCTCTGTCTCTGTCAGGCCCCCCTGAGATCCCTCTGTCTCTGTCAGACCCACCTGAGATCCCTCTGTCTCTCTTCACCACCTTCTTTCTCTCTGACCTTTCTAAAATGCCTCTCTCCAACTACTCTGTCCCTCCAGGATCCCTGTGACATCCTTTTGTCTCTCTCTGACCCCTCTGAGATTCCTCTCCCTCCAGGATCCCTCTCAGAACCCTCTGTCTCTCTCTGATCCGAGTTCCCCCCATCCCCTGACCCCTTGCCATGCTGTGTGGATGAGGAGAGTGGGCGGAGTTACGGAGTGACATTAGGTGGTATAAGGCAGGGTTAGCGAGCCGTTGGGCGGAGATTGCTGTGACTTACCTGCGTGCGCTGTGCTGCAGGACTTGCTCCTCCTTGCGGTGCTGCAGCTCGGACATGTAGGTCATTATACGACTATTACACACCAGGAGACTCTTGGCAGCTTCCAGCGCTTGTTCCTTCTGTGTGCAGGCGCCCAGCAGCTTCACCGCCCCGTCGCGGATCCGGACCTCGTGATCGATCCGCTTCTGGATGTCCGTGTCCTGCAAGACAACAACGGGCACGTTACAGAGAGCCCACCCACCGTCCACGGAGCCCCGCCCCCTGCCTGAAATAAGGACTGTGTGTGATCCTCCAGACCTGCCGAGAGTCCAATCTCCAACCAGAGAGACCACAAACACCCCAAACATGTTCTAGATAAGTCGCCCCCGGAGAACGACTCCTCTCTGTGGTGTGCGCGCCGGTGTGCGAGTCAGATAGAGTCCGCCTCCTTTGCTGCATGGAGGACGTCCGGCATCATCATTTCATTATCACGTTGATGAGGGGGGGAGGGGAGCCAGTGGTGGCAAAATATAAGCAGATTACACTTCTTTATTATCACAAGGGGGCTGAGAAGTGAGTGTGACAGGTCCTCTTTATGAAGACATCAGGAGTCTATTAGACCTGCTCTGCCCCAGACCTCCATCAGTGACCTGAGACCCCAGACCTCCATCAGTGACCACAGATCCCAGACCTCCATCAGTGACCAGAGACCCCAGACCTCCATCAGTGACCTGGGACCCCAGACCTCCATCAGTGACCAGAGACCCCAGACCTCCATCAGTGACCAGAGACCTCCAGACCTCCATCAGTGACCAGAGATCCCAGACCTCAATCAGTGACCTGAGACCCCAGACCTCCATCAGTGACCACAGATCCCAGACCTCCATCAGTGACCTGAGACCCCAGACCTCCATCAGTGACCTGGGCCCTCGGGTAGATCCTGTATATCGGGGGAGATACTCACAGTTCTGTGCTCCTCCATACCAGAGATACTCTGTATACACCATGAGTGAGCGCGGCACTGACACCGCCACTGACTGCGGCAGCCTCATAAGATTGTGGTCAGGAGGCCAGTGCTACATTTCCCCAACCTACCAATCAGCACCTTCTGCCTGTACTGTCAGTGCTGCATGTGTCCAGGGTGTCAGTGCGTCCAGGGTGTCAGTGCAT